TTCCTTAGCTAAGGGGTTTTGGAGTCTCTGAGTTTTCGGACTTCTCGTCCAAGATTCGGGGCCCCGGGGGCTTCGGATTTTGGGGCTTCGGGGCTTAGGGTTTAGGGTTTAGGGTTTAGTGTTTGGGTTTTGGGCTTTGGGTTATAGGGCTCAGGGCTGAGTGCGTAGGGATCGGGTTTAGGGGTTCACTTTTAGGGTTTGGGGTTGCTTTGCGATAGCTTACTTGGGGTTTAGGGTTTAGGGTTGAGGATTTGTAGGTTCTAGGGTTTAGCGGCTTGGGGTTTAAGAGTGCTGCGTCCGAAATCTGAGCGTTGGTGAGGTTTGTGGCTTGACATGTTCATGATGATGGGCTTCGAGATTTTCTCGAAGGGTTCGAGGTCGACTGGTTCAAGACTTGGGGTGAGGGCTTAGGGGCTAAGGGTAATGTAGGGGCCTTACTAATAACAAACATGGTTTGGGGGTCCAGTATACTTATAATAAGGAGCCCTAACGACCATTATTGGTAATCCTTAATCCCTAAACCCTAAACCCTATTTAGTTTTAGATACTAATCTCCGCACCTTGGCAACGGGATCGCAGGTGTCGGGAGATCGGAAGCATTCCCCGACGCTGTCAGCCCCAAGCCAAATCCGACATCACAACCTAGATCCACGGTTTGGGGTTTAGGGCCTAGGGTTTAGGGTTTAGGGTTCAGGGTTCAGGGTTTAGCGTTTAGGGTTTAGGGTTTAGGGTTTAGGGCACCTCAAAAGTTCTAATTACTAGATGATAGGTCAGGTAACTTGTGTTATATTGGTATGGTTTTGATCACCCCGATGCAAGGCTAGAACCTTCCTTACGAAGTCTCACGAAGCTCTAAGTACTCCGTATAGAACCGCTACTCTGTATGATCCCTATACAGAACCATTACAGATTTCTTGGAGAACACTGACAACATTTAGGGTTTAGGGTTAAAGAACACCTTTGTAGAACAGAGCCGAAAGCTCATAGGGCCTCGCACCGCCGTGGCGCCATCCACCGACTTCTTGCGCGCCAGGCGTTTGAAGTCATTCAAGGTCTTGCCCTGGCACCTGGGCTTTAAGGTCTTTGTTGTTTAAGGGCTCATTTCCGACTGCACATACTAGTAGCTCACCACGGCTGTCCCGGTGAAGGGTTTTGTGTCATGGGTTGGCATTTCGGGCCTCAGGGTTTTCGGGCTTAGGGTGCACGGCTTAGGGTTTAGCATTTAGGGCTCTCGGACTAGACATTATTAATCTCTTTTTCAAAAACCGGGCCCAAAACAGTTCAAACTTTATAGAACGAATATATAAGGTAAACAAGATTAACTAAGTTCTCCCGCTGGACCTAAACCCTAATCCCTAAACCCTAAACGGAGTTTACTTAGGGTTCACACAAGGCAGGGCAGCCTTAAACCCTAAACCCTGAGAAAGAAAGCCGGCGTCTGGTTCTTGGTTAGGGTTCCCAGAGGGTCCACGGTTGAGGGTTTAGGGTTTAGGGTATACTACTATTATGGATTTAAGTCCCAAAAGACCATCCTTATTATGGTTTTGGGGGACCGAGCTCGTTATGAATTCCGTAGTAGTAGCATGGATAGACCCTCTTGGGCTAAAGCTCAGGCCGTTGGTCTGAGGGATTGGGCCCTAAATCTAAAGGCGTAGGGCTTGAGAATGGTTCAGCCTTAACCCTAAACCCTAAACCCCTAAACCCTAAACAATAAACCCCTATAAACCCTAAACCCTAAACCCTAAAGCCTAAAGCCAAGTTGCTGGGCGAAGACCTCTGCAGCGGACTTCTCGTCCTCCAAGAGTATGTGGGACACCTGCGAGATTAGGTTCCAGGGCGTCCATAAACCCTGAACCCTAAACTAGGGTTTAGGGTTTCAGAACACCAC